GTGAACCCACTGTCTTTATCGAGCCGCCGCCGGCTTTCAGAATCATCATCACTGGTCTCCGAACTACTGCAGCTGGAGCCCCGGCCCTGACTTTTCCTCCGGTGGTAGCGTTTGTGAACTGTACCCGGAGAAGCTATATTCATCTTTAACCTGCTCAACTTGGGAGGCAGATTCTCATCCATGTCAAATTCGTCATCAGATTCCCCTTCCTCAAAGATCTGGTTGAGGACAGGAGCACTCTTCCTGGATGTCAGGCGATTGGTCACAGATGGCTTCCGGCGCAAAACCACTTGTGTTGAGAGGGACATGGGTTTCTTGTCCTCCTCATCTTCCTCTTCATCTTCTTCCACCCTGAACAGACACTTCCGCCCACTGGCTGTGGGTTTTAAGCTCGTGGGTGGCACTGTAGAGAGTGCTGGTCCAGCCAACTCGGGAAGGTCGTCTTTCTTAGCTGAGTCACACAGGCCTTTGCTCCTATGGCCATTGAGGACACTGTCGGCAGCCCGAGCAGGAGACTGAGGGACAGTCGTGTGAGACAGAGGAGTGGCCGTGAGGTCATCCTCAAGGTCCTGGGGTACATCAATTTTGGTTGGCCATGACTGCCTATGTAACAGATTGGGGGAAACAAAGCCATATAATCATTATGCAGATGATGGTAAAGTGCATCACACTGAACTTACTGGGACAAAATCTACAGACTTAAAGAAAAAAGCAGCAGCTCTGCAAAGCCATTCAACATCATGTAAAACATCAGCAAGGACACCACAAGTGTAAATGTGGTTTTGAAACACGGTTCAGTTGTGGCTTATTGGTCAAATGACAACTTCATCAGAAAAGAAAATGGGGCAATAACTACTCATCTTTTCTAAACAAAAGCTTTATATTACAAGATTAACATTTAAAAAAAGCACAATAGAGGTTATTGGCAAAGAAAAACCTGAACACCACACGTCTTGTACCTTTGGTTCTTAGATCATAATCTTTAAAGGTTATTTACTACAAATAAAATTCACCTGAAATTTCCAGGGCTCCTGATTTTAACATGGGGTAAGAGCTTGGTGTTTATTAAAAAAACAATGGAAACAGTTTAATGCATCTAGAGAGAAACAAAAGCTATACGTACGACACATATACATCATGCAAAATCATATAAAAATCTCTTCTTCGCCAATTAAAAAACTCACTAAGTTAAATATAAATATCTATCTTTTAAGACAGGGTCTCACTCTGTTACTCAGGCTGGAGTGCAAGGGCATGAATGCGGCTCACTGCAGCCTCAATCCTCTGGGATCAAGCAATTCTCCCACCTCAGCATCTTGAGTAGCTGGGACTACAGGTGCACACCACTCTGCCAGCCTTAAATAAGCACATTTTTAAATGCCCATGAACAGCAAAACTTGCCACTATTTAAACTTTCATTTTATCTACCAACCTGGAGTTGCCCAAATAACAAGAATACTGCTTGGTAGCCAAAGAAGACGAACTTTTAAAAGGAGGCTCTCTAGCTGCTATTCTAAATAAACATCTCTGAACTGTCAACTATCCTCTCTCCCCAGGGGTACAGTGATATAGTTATAATAATAAAGCAGGAACAAAATTTTACCAGTGGCCACTGTATGTGGAATATCTACTAGACTTGCTATGTGCAAGTTTTCTTATGTTTTGCACAGGTTACCCTTTAATAAAATAAACCTGTCATTAAAAAATTTAAATTTGAAGCTAAGCAGCAGTATTCCCTGAAGTGGTCATAACCACACAATGACTAACACTGTGTGGCCACGTCCTGCTGCTGGGTTAACTTCTTGGTTTTCCATTCCAGAACTATCTGGCTGCAGTCTATCAGATGCCTGCCCTGCTAACTGGCTCCTTCCTAGAGAGTTCCAACAGTGTATCCTCGGCTCTCCAGGGCAGGCTGGAGGAAGAGTCTTTGCAGTCTGCATACAGCCCCAGACACAAGTCAGTCATAAGAGTTCTTAATCTGGACTAAATCTAAATGCCTAGGCCCCTCTCTCAGACCTCATGTTCTTCCACACGAATGTACTGGGGTAGCCCTACACTTATTCATATTTTTAACAAAGTTAATGCTACTATATCTGAAACAGAATCTGTTCTAGAATTTAAGAAACTTTAAGCTACTTGATTTGACAACTGCCAATACCACTCTAGCTCACTGCTGCAGGATCCTATTTGTACTAACACCACTCCTTTGAGCTAAGCCATCTGTTATACCTACATTTCTGAGATGGCATCTGGGTCTTCATTCTCTAGTTGAGTCCCTGTGTTCTTACTCAATTCCAGATCTAGGACTCTGCCTCTGGACTCCAGAACCTGCAGGCCAAATCCCTGTTTCTTTCTGCCTACCAGTCTGCTTGCAAAAACACCCAGCCCAGCTAGGAGGCTTGATATTAGTCTCCTGTTAACCACCCATCTCAACCGGTCTGTCACCAATTCTTCTGGACGATCCACTGGCCACACAGCACGTATCTGTTCTTTGTGGCTGTGGCTTTCACTAGCCTGACCCTTCCTCTATCTTTGCCCAGCTGCCATTTTAAATACAGTCTCCTGACTCAGTTCAGGTTTCTACCTTCCAGGTCATTCTGACCACAAGGCATATCCAGCAATGGAACCACGGGAGGTCCAGGGTCTTGTCAGTAAAGTTATAGGGACAACAAAGAGAAGACAAGTCAGGAGACATCACTCTGCCAGTGGACCCTGTGCTGTACAAAAAAGCACTCATAGCTTCTCCACTCTAGAGTCCTCATGAACATGGCAAAAGGAAAACAACTCAGAAAGTTCTGGTATCTAAAAAAATTTTTTTTTTTAATTTTTGTAAAGAAAGGGTCTATGTTGCCCAGGCTAGTCATGAACTCCTGGGCTCAAGGGATCTTCCTGCCTTGGCCTCCCAAAGGGTTGAACCACTGTGCCTGGCCTAGTATTTCTTTATAGCTAATGCTGGTCTCATATATACAATTAGCTTTAGACTGAGTTCTGGTATATTTCACTGAATAGAAGAGAGTTCAAATCTAAATATTCTCTCCTCCAGACGCCTGGTGGTAGCTCCAGTCTTGGTGCACCTGGCGAGTAGTGATGATCTGCGTTGGGGTTACTCTTTCTTGCCAGGGAGCTCAGGTCAGAACTAGGTTGACCATAACCTCTGAGCATCAGTCTATAGTTTATCTCATCCCCAAGAATCCCCTCACTCCCGGAATTCAGTCCTTTTCTAAGCAGACACTAGGCAGTGTGCCTAGTTTTTATTACAGAGGAATACATTCAAGATACGAATAAAGTTACTAAATTCATGTTCTAGTTAAATTCGACTTCCAAATCTTTACACTTTGGTAAGCTGGGAATGTTGTCCTCTCTCTACTCTGCCACTCCACCCAAGCAACGAAGTGCACATGGCGAGCCAACTGCAAGTAACTTAAAATCGAAATGGCTTTCTGAATCATTTACAATCATCTTGTTATTCACAATAATATTCACACACACATTCACATGTATTTGAGGTACACACAGATTTACTCGGAATCAGGAGCACTCTCCTATCACTGAACTACAGTCCCACGGGTTACTTTATCTGAATGCATAAAGAGAAATTAGAAATAAATTTCATAATCATAATGAAAAAAGTAAACCCTTTCCATGCTTTGATTTAAAGTGGAAAGTTATTCTCACAGGAAAAAAAACAAAGTGAGAAGGTTGGGGGAGGGCGGGGGAGGAGAGAAGAGGTGGGGAAGAAAAGGCCTGGAGTGCAGCAGGTTCGTGACTTTATTGGATGATGGTGGTAAAATATTCCCAGTAATGACAGCAAACATACAGATCCCTGGTCTAAGGGATCATTCCTCACCACAGCCCCACGAGGTAAACAGCAGTTACTTTTGTGTTACAGATAGGGAAGCTAAGTCATAGAGAGGTTAAGCAACCTCCCAAGGTCAAGCAGCTAATAAATCAACTAGCTAATGTGATTATCCAATCCCAGAAATGCTGAGAGAACACTGTGGCATAGCAATACTCTATTTAATTTTAAAAATTACTTCAGATAACTGAGGGAAAATTCAGTCTTGTTCCTAGAATGAAAAACCAAAGAAAATAACAATTAATACATGTTGGATTTGGAAGAATTTAATGAAAATAACTGACAAGACACTGGCTTAAGGCTGCTTCTCCAAACATGTTTTCCTGACCATGCCAACAGACACAGCCCCTTCCCCACTGAGCCCAGGAGGGGAAGGCATCTCTGGTGATGAGGGAATCTAGGCCTTCATATACACCCCAAGAGCCCATGTGCGGCCTCTCCAATGAGGCTGTCATCACTGTTTGTACTTTCTTGCCCCAAAGAGTTAGGAAGCATTATATTAAAAAAAAAAGTTCACTATTTCAAAATGTTAACTTACTAAAATCAGTGAAGATTTTTTTCTCACCTAAACTGGGCCTTGATGTTGCTCGGGCTTGCAGATCTGGTCTGTATTTCTTTCTCTTGCTTTTCTCTCAGGATTCTTTCAGCCAGCAGGAAGTATGTAGCTGTGATATGGTTATACCTGTTGGTTTCCAGGGCTCTGGGGAAAACAAGGTGAGGGCAAATGTCAGCCACATCAGAAAGTTTTTTTACATGAAGAGGAATTGATTTTTAAAAGTAAACCAAGTTCAAATTCAATGGCTGGAATCTTTAAAATTATGCAAAAATGCAAACCAGAAAAAAACCAAACTAGTAGTTATTCAGGTCACTCTTGAAATTCTAAAAACAACTGCATAAATATGTTCATATTTTTATGAACATTTTTCATAAATGAAAGAAAAATCCAAAATGCTAACAGCAGCTGAGTTAGATTTCAGTTTTAGATCCATAAGACAATGCGTCCACACATTATTCAAAATGAATTTCTGTGTACAGTGTTTGTATTTGTTCAAGTGGCTTACTTGCTTCCACTAGAAGTATGAAATGAAGACAAGGTAGGTCTATGTTACATAAATGTGCAATGAAGTACTAGTATCAGTCAAAAAAATTAGAAAATGTTTTTATTTTCACATTCCCTCTGCATTTACTGGCAATTTAGCACTACAGAATTATTCAAGAAATTGAAAGCATGTCATCATCAATCACTTTGAATAAAATCGATGTATTCATTCATCCATTTAAAAAGTAATGCTCACCGAGTACCTAGTCTGGCTAGGCACGGTGCTGGGACACAAGGCCCAACAAGGCCCACAGTCCTGCCCACTCTTTTGTAGCTGGCCTGTCATGGGATATACTGGGAGCATGCTTTGGGGCAGATCCCACAAGGCCAGGAGATACATAATTACTGTTTTCAGAAACTTGCTATAGTTACTGAAAATACACAATGAACACTTAGGAAAGGAGCAACAGCAGAAACCTCATTTTTCAAAATGTACACTGGGGTCACAACTAATGGGGGCAGGGCAGGGCACGTGCCCATGGTGAAATTCAAGGGTAGAATGATTTCTTAGAGTGGTTTCTTCAGCGAAGTACTGAATCTAGGAGTTGGCTTCGGTTTAGAAACGTGTTGTAAGAGAAATGTGTGTTGGAACTCAGGAGTCATCCTCAGAACAAGCAGCTTCTCACGATGTGAGCAGCAAGCACGGAGTGAGGCTAGCCAAGGGGACAGCAAGACTGGCTCCCCCAGCTCCGGATATACTTGGGAAACCAGCAGACTGGAAAACTGGAGACACCTGAACCATTTAAACTGTACTACCGTTTGGATTTATAATTAAATAGTTCTAGATGACAATACTACACGTATATATGTATGTATTCAAACTAAGAACAAAAGGCCACTATGGAGGGATACAAACAGCCTTTTACCCACTCAAAAGTAAAAAATAATTTTCTACACATTCCTAAAGTGAGTGTCTGTGGCAGAAACAGCAAGTGTCCCATCTTCTCCACATGTTTAGGTCATTTAAGTAGCTGTGAGTCAATACTGTAAAGAATCGTAATACACTTGGAAACTTACAGAAATCTGTACTTAAACCAAAATTAAGAACCTGGGTTTATTTTTAGAAACCTTTCTTTCCAGTAATGTAAAACACCCTAAAGACATATGTCCTTTATGCAGACACTGCCCTTCTCAGGGATCAGAGCCTCCAAGTGGGTGTGCGTGTGGCAGAGGACACATGGCGAAGTCCAGCCCAGAGGCTTCTCTTTCCCCAAGTCAGGGAACTGGATCAGATCCCGAAAGGGACCTCCTGAGGGGAACCCCTTTTTTGCCTCCTAGAGCATACTCTCTTTCCAACATACCCAAATGTTTCATTCAACATATTAAATAACTTTTGACCTTTAATTTGTGGAAATATTCCTTATTTTTACAGTCAGGACCTCTTACAGAAATTAATCATTATTAGAACAAAGCAAATGCATCTTTCTGCTGTATTATCTTTGATTCTCCAAACTGTTTATTAAAAACTGGCTTTGGTTTTTAAAGGATATAATTAACAACTTGTATATAACTTGCAGGCTCCAGGTGGCTGCAGCAGGGGCTCTCAAGGGCCAGATAATAAATATTTCAGGCTTTGTGGGCCATGTGGTCTCTCCCGCAACCACTCTGCCATTATAGCACAATGCATCCATTGACAATACTTAAATGAATGGGCACGGCTGTGGTCTAATAAAACTTCATTTATAAAAATGTGTAGCTGGCACCAACTCCTGATTTAGAGGACTCTAAGGATGTGGTACTGCCCTGTTGTCCCTACTCACTGTGGGGACCGAAAGGAGACAGAGGAATGAGAATAGTGCTACAGATAAGGTATATACTGGGATACAAAACAAGCTGTTTCATTCCACTCCTGCAGAAAGGGAAAAAGGCCACAGCACTCACTGACACCACCCAGCAATGGCTTACTTGTTCACTAGTATAAAAACCAAACACCAAAAAAAAAACCAAAACACCTATGTGTCAGGCACTGGGCCAAGAACTTTAGCGATAAATGACACAACCCTTGCCAACTGGGAACTCTATTACACAAGTGTCGAAAGGCTGTGTTAAGTAGAGAGAGCTCATTCCAAGAATCCTAAACCTGTGGCCCTCTGTACTGCTGGACATTGACGTACTCTACAATGGCGTCTCGATCCGCTATGTCCCCAAGCACCATGCGCTGAATGATGCTGTTGTGCTCCTCTTCTGAGAGATTTTTGTATGACACAAGGGGAATGTTATACTTTGTGGCTGGTGAAGGGTCCACTCCCTGAAGCCAAGGATGATTTTCAATCTCTTCTAAAGAAGCCCTTCTCTTGGGATCTCTCTGTAGCATCCGTGTGATCAGGCTGGAAAGGAAGGTAAGTCCACTGTTAAAGCAAACTGCTTGCAAGAATTAGCAATGGTAGATCATTTTATTAATAAAAATGATTTTCTATATCTATACCATCAATTAAATTAGGTATACTAATGGAGGCAGTGGAGCAGATGGGAATAATAGAAATTAGTGCTGCTATAGTTGCAAAATAAAAAATCATAACTTTCAGGTATACTGATAAGCCAAATGCACAAATAAGAGCTCCGTACCATCTAGATTTAACTATAGGTATCAACATCTGTTCTTGAATTAACTGCTGACTTAGTGACATACCAGAATCAAATTCAATAATCAGCAATGACATACAGAATAGAGTATACAAGCCCATTTCTGTTTCAGAAAAAAATCAATGATGCTTCTGATGAAAATAACTAAAACACCATGTAATATATTTTTAGGAAAACATTTTATTTAAAGGCACCATGTTGGTGAATAAGTAACACTCAGCAACTAAAAATGAAGTAAAACCAGAACTCTTAAAAAGTGAATGACAAAGATGGCCTTTGGCCTTTTTTGCTTCAGCTTTACAGGCTATGTTGGGTGCATATAACAGAATATAATGTGTAAGGCCTAGTAGATAGTACAAGTAGAGCCCTTGCAAAGACCTGGGACTCCAGCTTTGGGGTGAGGGTAAATGAAAAATGAGAAACGACTCAGAACTTCTAACTGTAAGTCTGTGTTCCAAACCAATGATATCTGTGTGGTATACACAGTGAGGTTACTTTACAGTGGTTTCAGCTGGAAGCACTCCTGGGCAACTAGTAAGGAAATAAATATACAAATCCCTCTTGTAGGAATGTAACTTAAAATCAGCCTCAAATGATTCCTCAAATAATATTACAAAGAATATCAGTCAAAAACACAAAAGAAACAAGATACCAACAGCAAGACGTAGGAAACATAAGCAAAATCAGAATGCAAATAATTTAGATACTGAAATTTTCAGACACGAAATGTAACTGTGTTAAATATGTTTAAGATATGAAAGAGAAGCTTGAAAATAATATAACCAAGAAACTAAAGATGATACTATTTACTATAAACAAAACCACTATACAAAAAATTACTAGGCAGTTTTGAGAAAAAACTAGGGCTTCTACAAATGAAAAATAATCATTGTAACTACAAAGCAAAATCAAGAAACCAATTTTAAAAATTAGACACAGAGAATGAAAGATAAAATTAAGGAAATAACTATATCAGTAGACTGAGACAGTAAATATAAAACAGGTGGTGAAAGAGGAGGACAGGGTGAAAATATCTAACACACATCTAATCATAATTACAGAGGGAAATGACAAAATGAGGAAGAAACTGTATCTGAAAAGATAATGGCTCAGAATTTTCCAAATCATCAAAAAGCACAAATCCTGAACCACTAAGCCTAACATATCCTAAACACAATAAACAGAAAATCCTAAAGCAGCCTAAGTGAAGACAGGACACCTATGCAGAGACAACATGATAATAACATGGACAGCTGACTTCTCAACAGCAATAACGAACACCAGAAGACAGTGGAATAATATCTTCCATGAGCTGAGAGAAAATAACTATCAACCTAGAATTCTAAACTCAATGAAACTGTCTTTTAGGAGCATATGTAACATGAAGGCATTCCAAGTAACAGAGTTTATCACCAACACATGCTCATCAAAACAAATTCTAAACAATTTAATTTTGACAGAATAGTGTGATTCCACTTGGAAGGGTCAACAGTTTCTGTCAAGCATCTGGGTAAACATAAGCAGTTTTTAATTGTGTAGAATGATAATTATATTTACTTTGTGGCAATTGAAAAAGTTGTTATAATACTGGATAGTAGTTAAAATATTCTAAAGATTTTGTGTTGTTCAAAAAGAGAATAAAGAGATTGGGTGCAGTGGCTCATGCCTGTCATTGCAGCACTTTGGAAGGCTGAGCAAGGACTGCTTGAGCCCAGGAGTCTCAGACCAGCCTGGGCAACATAGTGAGAAGCCGTATGATAGTCAAATGAAGGGAAAAAGAAAAACCTTGGCAGGGCATGGTGGCTCATGCCTATAATCCCAACACTTTGAGAGGCAGAGGCTAGAGGATCTCTTGAGACCAGAAGTTCAAGAACGGCCTGGATAACATAGTAAAACCCAGTCTCTACAAAAAGTTTAAAAGTTAGCCAGGCATGGTGGCACTCACCTATTAGTCCTAGCTACTCAGGATGCTGAAGCAGGACAGTCCCTTAAGCCCAGGAGCTGGAGGCTGCAGTGAGCTATGTATGATTGTACCACTGTATTCTAGCCTGAGCAACAAAGCAACGCCCTGTCTAAGAAAAGAAAGAGAGGGAGGAAAGGAAGAAGGGAAGGAGGATGGAGGGAGGGAGTAAGGAGAAGGAGGGTAGAAGGTGGGAAGGAAATAGAGGAAGGGAGGGAGGGAGAGGGGAAGAAAGGGAGGGTAAAGGGAGAGAAGGGAAGAAGGAAGGAAGAAAGAAGGGAGGAGAGGGGAGGAAAGAGGAGAGGAATGGAGAGGAGGAAAAGAGAAAAGGAATCCTCCATCCCACAAAAATTAGTTGGGTGTGGTAGTGTGTGCCTATAGTCCTAGCTACTCAGGAGGCTGAGCAAGAAAATTGCTTGAACCCAAGAGGCAGAGGTTTCAGTGAGCTGAGATTGCACCACTGCACTCCAGTCTGAGGGACAGAGCAAGACTCTGTTCAAAAAAAAATCAGTCTATGTTGTCTAATTTTAGCTTCACCAGTCTTCTTTTGGTTACCATTTGTGTGCTATATAGTTTTTGTTTTTTTAACTTTAAACGTTCCATTGTTCTGGTTTTAAATACATCTTTTACAACCAGCTAGATAGAGCTGAGTTTTCTTTAATCCCATCTGATCATTTCTGTGTTTTAATGGAGAGTTTATTCCATTTACATTTATTGTAGTCACTGATAGACTGTAGATCTATTTATGCCATCTTTTTATATGTTTTGTGTTTGTCCTACTTCAGTTTTTTTTTTTTTTCTTTTTACCTTTTGTGCCCCAAAGTACTGGGATTACAGGCATGAGCCACTGTACCCAGCTGATTATTTTAAATAATTACTGGGGCCTGGCACAGTGGCTCACACCTGTAATCCCAGCACTTTGGGAGGCTGAGGTGGGCGGATCACAAGGTCAGGAGTTCGAGAGCAGCCTGATCAACACAGTGAAATCCCATCTCTACTAAAAATACCAAAATTAGCTGGTATCCCACCTATTTGAGAGGCTGAGGCAAGAGAAATGCTTGAACCCGAGGTGAAGGTTGCAGTGAGCCAAGATCATGCCACTGCCCTTCAACCTGGGCAACAGAGCAATACTGTGTCTGAAAAAGAAAAATCCTTCTAGGAGGGAGATACAGACAGCTACTAAGATACTAGGAACTGTTCTATTAAGCTAGATAATGCATATATAGGTACTCATTTTGTGACATATACATTATATACTTATTTGAATGATATATATCAATATAAAAATAAGCTTTTCTTTTCTGTAGAAACTGTGGAAATATTCCTTGAATTACAACATGAATTACAAACATCCAACATGCTGACAACACATGCCCACAGACAACTGCCCAGCTTCCTGGAGTACAGAATAGAAACAGTAATGTCATAAAAATAATCATCATCCATATTCAGTTTGCTATGTGTTAATGACCAAGCTAAGAGCTTTACACATATTAATTCATTTGATTTTCACAATAACCCTATATGGTAGGTTCTACCACTCTGACATCATTAGTAAAGGGAGAAGTCAATATTTGAATCCAGAGTTTGAATACCTAAGTTCTTAAACAGTCACCTGAGATGGAGCTCCATTTAGAGAAAAAATTCCTCAAGCAATCAGATTTCCTTCTGAGTTGAGAGGAGAAACTGAAAACTGTTTCTACAGCAAAGTCCTTTAAATAGTGGCTATCAGCTAAACTGACCTCATTAAAAAATGTCACTTACAATGCCAATGAAACATTGAACTTCCAACAGTTCTATTCCATTACTGTATTTGTCACTACACGTATCATAGTACTATGTACTACTTTAAATTCCAAATAATCAACCTGAGTATACTTTTTGTTGATGGCTTCCCATAGTCACATAAACCAAAACAGCTCTTTAGTAAACTGGCAGGAGGTGTGTGTGAACAAAATTATGAGACATACTATGTAAATCCTAAAATAGTGTGTTGATGATCTATTCAGGAAAGAAAATGCCCCTAACTCTTCTCTGCAACTTAAAACAATTCCAGGTGGTCTTGATTTTTGCTCATGCAGACAAAGGTAGGTCCCATGGTATTTCTTCATTTCAAATGAAATAACCACCACTCCTGGAGGTTGAAGAGGCAGGTAATAGATTTCTTGAATAAGAAATAGATGAATACAGTTTGTACTCTAATATTAAATTTCAGATCATATCTGGGGGCTAATCTCCTCCCCACCAAACACTCTTAACAACAGCAGAAATATTAAATTCAAAACTTAAGCTTGAATCTTTGAAGTCCTCTCAAATTTTCTTGACATATTAATGGAATTAAAACCTTCTGGTTTTAATCTGAGTCCTTAAGGTTTCCACATACTTTTTTTTTTACTTACTCTTTACACTCTTTTGACACATGGGATGGTACTGTATATTTGCAATCCATGATCATTGTCAGTGTTTCACTGTCATTGGCTTCTTGAAAGGGTGGCTGCCCACACACCAACATGAAAAGGATCACTCCCAGGCTCCAAATATCTACAAATCAAAGACATACTTT